TACATGATGGACATACAAAGTGGCAAAACTACCTCTAGAAAGAGGTTATGACAACCCTAAAACTCACTAAAAAGGGCCTAAAATGGGTCAATGAAGCATGCAATCAAAGGTTCCTTTGAAAAGCCTTGAAGAGGATTGCTCTACACATGCATGAGGGACACAAAATATGGCCAAAAGGGCTCCGGACAGAGCTAAGGCAGACCTTAAAACTCACCAAATAGGGCCTGAAATGTGACTTCACAACATGCAAGTAGGGGCCCCTTTGGAAGGCCAAAAGGGCCAACAAACAAGACAAGGAGAGAGGGGGTCACCCCCCCTGATTTTGGCTCTCAAAATAGTGTGATAGCCACTAAAAATCCACTGGATTTCAGTGGCTAAGATGCCAAACAAAGCATGAAATAAAGGCCTAGGTGCAAGGCTCAAAACAAGAGGCAAACAAGCATACAAGGGGATAGATGACCCCCAACAGAAAAATGCCTTTAACCAAACTTCAAGAGGGGCTCAAAACAAGACTCTTTTCAGTTTATGACAAACCTCGAAAATGCTTGCAAGCAAGGCTAAGATAGGAAGCAAAATAAGTCTACAAAGAGGGATGGAGCATACAAGGAGGTAGATGATCTCAAACAGAAAAGTGTCCTTAATCAAACTTCAAGAGGAGCCCAAAATAAGACACTTTTCAGTTTAAGACAAACCCAAAAATGCTTGCAAATAGGGCTAAGTTATGAAGCAAAATAATGCAAAAATGGAGAAAATGATGACTTACCCTTGTAGCACAGCAATACAGCAAGTTCTGGACCAAGAAGGTGAGCCTTCAACCTTTGAAAAACAGCTTCGGGGTGATTGAATGAATGGTGGAGGTGGTAGGCTATGAGGTGTAGTGTAAATGGCCAAGAATATTATGGTTTGAAGCTTGAAGAAAAGAGCTATGGAGTGTGGGGTGTATCTATTTCAGCCAAATGTTTTTAACCCTTGCAAATGGAGAGGGAAGGTTTGTTTTATAGAGGAAGAGAGCCAAGGCATCTTGGAGAAGCCTCAAGAAAGGGTCAAAGCTTCTCAAAGAAGCTTAACCAAAAGGGTCAAGCTTCCTCAAGAAGCTTGACAAAAGGGTCAAGCTTCTCCTTGAAGCTAAGAAAAATGATCAAATCTTCCTTAAGAAGACAAACAAAAGGCTCAAAATCCCGGAGAAAGGGTCAAGTGCTTCACAGCTAGCACAGCTGTGTTGCACTCAAGAAGGCCAAAAAGCAGAAGGCGCGGTCGGCTGACCACTCCCCTTGGTCAGCCGACCAGGGGTCAAAAGGGTCAAGGTGAAATGCTGGTCGGCCATACCAGAAAGGTGGCCACCTAGATGAGTAGAATACAGCTGTATGGTGACAGACCAGAAATTGTGGCCTAGGGGAGAGGAAAATCAGCTTTCTAGCAAGGTTCAAAAGGGTCAGGAAGAAAAGCTAGTCGGCCTACCCATATTGGTGGCCTCCCAAATGAGTAAAACACAATGGTGGTATGAGAGACCAGAAATTATGGCTCAAAAGTGATAAAAACCAACTTTCTGTCAAGAAAACCGGCTGGAGGAGAGAGAAAATGATTTCCAAAAGAATTGCTGGTCTCCCACTATAGTACCACTTCCCAAACAATGAAAATAGGGTCCATACCAAAAATGAACCCTAATCGATGCAAAACGAGGGTTCGGGGGCCAAAACACGCGGCCCAAGGCCCCGAAAACAGGCTGTTAGGTACCGGAAGTGGCGTGCAACCACGAAGGTGGTCTCTCGGGCCACAGTGTCCCTCAAAAGAGAGGAAACAAGGTGTGTGCCAAAACTCGGAGCAAGCGGAGGTAGTTAAGCCGTTCCAAACCGAGGCACACAGCCAACGGCTCTAAAAACCGAAAACTGGTCTCCAAACGGGAAAAATGGCCTACGACCACGAAACGTAGCCTACGGCCACTGAGAGATGGTCTATGAGACCTCTCCCTCCCTTCAGAAAGAGAAAATAGAGAAAACAGGACTTAGTTCGCAAACCGAGGCAAAGCACAAAAGAGCCTCGAAGTTCGGAGGCAAGGCTCGCAGCCGAGACTCTAAAACCTCAAAACGAGCACAATATGCATCATCACTGAGCGCTCAATTGGTGACGTCTGAGTCTTAAGGTCGGTCAAAAATGAGGTGTCTATAGTTCCCAGCAGCCATGTCGGGGTCCCATTCAATCCAACCATTGGGCTATCGAATTGCCCTAGATCATTCTAATGGTGGCCAAGCTCCTTGTAACATGTAACATACATGATGTCACAAGAGCTTTCCTAATCAATCAAGATACGCCTTACTTGGCAGCCTCCAATCTTCAAAGTTATTACCAACACATCGCTATGCGAATACTGCACCATAGCTAAATCCTCTTCAGTAAAAAAGATCATCAGCCCCTACTGTCCATATGTTATGGGCTTCTTCTATTAGACCTGATAGACATGCTACAAGCGCCTTACTCTCTAGGTCTCCCATCGAATTTTATTCTCATTGACCCTCGAGTGAATCACGTTGATTACCCAAGGTCCATTTTCCTGCTGCATTGGTGGCGGTGGCGGTGGTGTTGCTGTTTGGGGCAGCCTCGCGTGTTCCTCTATCTTCGCTTCATCTACTAGGTCTTTCAGGCGTCCTTGTCTAACCAGATCCTCTAGGTGTGACTTCAAAGCCCAGCATCCCTAAGTCATATGCCCGTCTCCGTTATGGTAAGCTCAATGCTTCCCAGTGCTCCTGTCCATGTACTCGCCAGGGACCTTCTCCGGTGCTCTGTGGTATGGCTGGTTCTTGATCCTCTCTAAGATCTTATAAATGGGGATCCTGAATACTATACTGACTGCCTGCATAGACCTCAATCCTGTTTTCAGCCTATTCGTGCCATTGTTTCCTCGGCTACGCTTCGGCGAGCCTTTTCTTTTTTCCTACTTTGCTCATGTGCCTTTTTAGCTTTCTTGTCTTCTTCTACTCTAGCGTACTTCTCAAACCGAGCCATGAGCTCTTCCATGCTCTTCGATAGGGTTTTTGCAAGAGATTGTTGGAGCAGGCAATCGTCATCCAAGCCGTTCTTGAAATAAATAACCACAAGTTCCTGGTCACAAGTTGAGATATGGTTGTAAACCTCGTAATATCTCTTGGCGTAAGCCCTGAGGCCTTCGCCATCGCTAATCTTTAGAGCCAATAGGGAGTCTACCCTCGATGGCTACGACTTGTTTGTAACGAAACTTGGCCACAAACATTTCGGCCAGGCCTTCCCAACTCTTTACACTTTCTTTTGGCAGTTTATGGAACCAATCCGATGCTATCTCTCCAAAGGATGATGGGAACACCTTGCACAATAATTGTTCATTCCCACTCCACAAAGCTGTCGAATTCAAATATAAACCAACATGAAAGTTTGGATCAGACTTACCATCATAGATTTGAAACCTCGACATGTTGAATCTTTTTAGAGCCTCGAACGCATCCAACTCCACCAAGAATGGTGATATGCAGAAAAGTAGAAGACAGAGAGTAAATGGCAAAGGTATGATTATGTTGATCTATGACACAGAGGAAAAATATTTTATGGTAAGGCCTTTCATTTTCTTCTTCATCCTCTTCATTTCTCTCATTTTTCTTCTTCTTCTCCTTCTTCTATTATTTTGTCACCATCAGATCCAGGGAAGAAGTGATGGTAGTGATGTGGTGGAGATGGACGTTATTTTTGCTAAAAAATGGTCGGACAAATATTGTCAGAAAATAGTGACGGTGGAAGTCAATGATCGGAGAACTATAAAAAATGTCACTAGAAAATTATTTCTAGATACCGAAGGAGGTCTTCGACGATTGGAGATGGGAGATAGAGATCGGAGATATTTTTTAATGGTCAAAGACGACAACCAAGAGGCGATAGTTAGGCGGTGGGAGTGTTATGATATTACTGATAATGTGGATGAAGAATATGATGAGAGGGTACTTTGGAAATATTGATAGATATATGAAAAATGAGTAGGACTTATAGGTAAATAATTTTGCTTAACAAGACTAACCAGTAAGTCCAACTAAATATTTATGCCCAACCCTCTATCGGCCTAAATTATAATTCTAAACCGTATAAACTATAGATAAGCCTTGCGTGCTAATGCACCCATATCCACCCTTAAGCTTGGGTTCCACACATAGCTTGTTTCGAGTAGTTTGTTACAAATAAAAAATTAATAATGAAAAAGTATAAATTTTAGTACTCTTTTATTTCTCATTAATTAATTTTTTAAACTTATTTAAATTATTTATGTCTCATAAGTTATAAATAAAAGTTGCATCAACACTTTAACACAAATTTAATAAATAAATAAATAAATAAAGTGAATAATCTCATAAGTTACATGGGATATGTTTGGGAACCAAACATTTTAGTCAAAAAGTCGTAATAATTTATCAAATCATTCTCCCTACTTTTTTGTTCGTAGAAAATTTGAAGAAAAAAAAAATCACTAAAAAGGTTAATTCCCAAACAAGCCCTAAATAAAGCCATAATTCCATTTTTCTCAATAATTTATCAAATCATTTTCCCTACTTTTTTATTCGTAGAAAATTTGAAAAAAAAAACAAAAAAAATCATTAAAAAGGTTAATTCCCAAACAAGCCCTAAATAAAGCCATAATTCCATTTTTGCCCCATGACAAGGTTGTGGAAATACACTCCTCTAGAGGGTGCATTTTCTCAATATGATAGAGAACAAAACTACAATAAATTAATCATTCTGTTATTCTGTAATATCTATCTGCATACTGAACTCATTTTTTAATTGAAAAAATAGATTCCCCAAATTCCTTTAAGAACAATAAAAATATTAACTTATTCCAGAATATTGGACTAGTCATCAATTGTTCTAGCATCTTGTGCTGTCACCAACCACTATATGATTCCTTGAACTTCTATAAAATTAGACAGATCTTGAGATTAGGGAATATGGAACTTTCACTTTTTATTTAAATATTCTACATTTGGTTTACGTGTTATTATTCAAAAATTATGTCCTCACAGAAAGCATTCCTATGTTGTGGTCGGAGACTACTTGTCGTGGTCAGATGTTGAAAACTTGTGCAGCGTCGACATGATTTTCCGGCAAGGATGATTTGAGGACGTAACCTTTCGAGCTTCTTGGACGTCCACAGTGTGTTGGCTGATGGATTTGACCTTGTTTACTATCAATTCATGAGTTGCAATTTTTTCTGCAGGATAGTAGGTGCGTATGCAACACTTTCGTCATTCCTATTTTGTTCTCAATTCATGAAATTTTCCTCTGTTTTTATTTTTATTTTTTGTCAAAGAAATGAGGTTTTATCTCATCAAAAAAAAAAACAAACAAACAAACAAACAAACACCTCCACTATGCTACTAGATAGAGAACCGTACTTGATAAAGAAGCAAGATGTCTACCATATGTACTTTTTTTTTTTTTTTGAAATTAGTACTATATGCACCTTGTTATTATTATTATTTTTTTGGTATATGTTAGGTATGTTTGTGGTAAATCTTATGTTATTTTTTTGATAGACTTACGATAATTTGATATTCAAAATTAAAATTATTCAAAAAATTTCTGATGAAAAAATTGGTAACATTATGACAAAAAATACTTTTATTTTTTTCTCTCACCCCTTATATTACAAGAGTAACATAATTTTTTTTTTTTTTTTTTGTCTCTAACATTATTTGTTCCCTTGAAAAATGCAGTCCGCTTGGAATACTTCCTCGACGGTAAGTACCCCTACTCCATCCATTTTTTTTATTCTCTCAAAAATATAGACTACAAATGTTTTTAAAAATGCACCATTGGTATTGTGATCGGTGGAAAAGATGAATAGATGAGGTATTGTATTGAGTGATTGAGTAACTTGGGGCATGATGAATGATGATTGATTAGAGAGTATAAACACGTGATAATCCGAGAGTATTCTATAATTTTCCCATTGTCACACAGTAATGGTTCCAAAATAAGACATTCTAAGTGGTTGGATCTTCAGCTGATATTTTCATTGCTATTCAAGACACCTTCAATCACTTAATAATATCTCTGTTTAGAATAATTGAATGCCTCATTTGGTTTACTTGCTTTTCTCTGATTACTTCTTGTAGTTTTTGTTTCTTTTAACTGCCTTAATCACACAGCTGAATCTTTGTTTCACTTCTCTTACAGATCATTTTTTTCTCATCATCAAAATCATTGGTAAATCCTCATTCCTCTCCTTCAATGATCATAAGGGAAAAGTTATCTTCTAATATGAAGTAAATGACCCACAAGCCGGGGCGGAACCAGGAGTAGACGATTAGGGGGGCCAAAAATAAGGTTTCAACAAATCCAAATTGTCGGGTCAAGATATGTTTAAACGATTTAAATAATTATTAAAATTAATAAATCATTATTAAAAATAAGTTAATAAAAAATGAGAACATTCTAAGTATGCTATAGAAATTTGAACATCAGTGATGAACCAGTAGAAAAATACAAAGGACAAATTACGACGACGGTCCTGTGTTTTGCTTCTCGTGTCATTTTGGTCCTCATGATTTTAATTGGCTCGATTTTGACCATAAATTTATGATTTTGCCTTAATTTGGTCCAAATGATTACTACTCTTAATTTTTTTTTATTTATGAAAATACACACATAAATGGCATCTGCGTATTTTTAAGGAAAAAATAATAAACTTATTCAACTCAGTGAGTTAATTTTAATCAATTCAGCGATAATTTTTTGTAAAAAATACTAACGATATTATCAATTATATCAATTTGACACAAAATCTAAAATTAATGATCAAATTTGAATCAATTGAAAATGTAGGGACCAAATTAGATAAGAGGCAAAATATACAGACTAGTGGCGTAATTCGCCCAAATACAAATAATAAGTAATGTCACATAATTTACATTATATATGGATAGTATTATAGTAATAGATTATAGATCACACTGTATAAAAGGTACATACCATATGCTATTTTAAAACTACATCATAATTAATGATTCGTAACAAAGCCGTAATACTTCATAACTTTTGTCAACACAATAATTTGTAACATTAATGTTCATAACATGGGTGATGCTATGGTACATTTAGATGTACCATACATTTAGTTATGAACTTGTATGATTTTATGTCATAACCAACACCATATTAGTCATAACTACTACCATATTAGTTTATAACTTAATTATATTCAGTTATTTATTTATACTATATCACCTCATAACTAAGTCATAACTAAATTATTTAAATAATTTAACTCTCAAACAGGCAACCGGTCTAGCTGGTTACAAGGGGAACAAAATTGAATCAGTCGTGTTTGGCCCTCTTGTTGGCTCTTCTCCTCCCTCTTCTCTTCCCTCTTCTCTTCCGCCATAGCCGAAGCTTCCGAGGACCACCAGCCTCGTCAGCGATCCGGGCTTTAGCCATATCGACATCTTCTTCACAAGCTCTCACTCTCTGGACGTCTCCACCATGGGTTTGTGAGCAAAGACCCAGTCATCGCCTTTTCCCTTCCCTTCTAGTCGAATCGAATTTTTCCGAGAACTCTTTTCCGTAGTTAAGGTTTGTTGCTAACTCTAAGTTTCATCTAAATGTGCCATTGGTGCTTTGATTTCAAAACCCTAACCCTTATTGAATATCTGTTATTAATTTTTTTTATCAGTCAAAGCTGAGGGTAGAATTCTACTGTTTATGTATTTCTTACCTTCAGTTTTCAATTTGATTTTTTTGGTTTGCTTTGCTTTTGATTGTTTAATATTTTTTTTTTTTTTTTTAATGAATTTCCGTATTGCAACTATTGTAAATTTTAGGATTTTTTTTGTGTATTTGTATTTGTATATATATATTTTTTCTATATTGAGGAAAAATCATGCTTTGAAAATTTTTGTTCTCTCCCTCGTTTTGAGTTTCTTGAGTAAAACATATTGCGATGATACAAACTTATTTTTTTCTAATTTGTGCTTTGGAATATATTTGACGCATATTGGTTTCTCTTTATGTTTGACGGTGCCTTTACGAAAGAGAAGTTCCCACAGGATATTGTAGAAAAAAAAAGTTAGCAAAGAACCATGACCAACTGCATACACTACAAAAGGCAGGGCATTGAATTTCATTCCATCTTAATGCACCCATGACCATCAAGCATTGCTGGGTGTTATATCTGGAAAGTTCTGTATGTGCTGTCAAACTTTTGTTTGTCTCGTGGTCATATTATATTGAACAAGATTTCTATTTGTGCAATTCAACTTATTGCTCATAATGCCTTTTCTTCGTGGGTAGCTCTACTAGCAGATCGAAATTGTAGGATATCGTGTCACTGGAGCAGCTTTTTTACTGTGTCAAGTTTTCTTCATATGATGTACATTCTTAGCGCAAGATCATAAAAGAGGTATCATAACTTACTTAAATCCAACCAACTATGGCATGCACATTTGTTAATCCTTCTAGAAGTTTTGCACTGTTGCCTTGGGTTCAAGATGGATTTTACGAGGAATTGGTATTATGGTTAAAGTGCTTTTCTTTTTATCTATTTTCATTCATTTTTAAATTTTATTTATTTATATTTTGCCTTAAAAAATGTGGATATTTATCTCAAATTTTGGATTCGAATTTTTTACGCGTCACATACTCCACAAAATTGTTAGGTGCATATCACATAGTGTATCTATTTCTTTTGAACTATTCGGTTTTTTTTTTTCTTTTTCAGTGTTTAAATTTTTGGATTTTAGGTTTATTTGTATGAAAATTTTGGTTATATTATCCTGATGTTTTACATATTTAGTTACTAATTTTGGCTGCTTTGAAAATTGCTGTTGGTTAATTGATGCTTTTACGTTTGTCTTGGTGTGTAGACTTGATAACTGAAATTAGTTTATGCAATAAATTATGGATGATGCAGACACTAAATAGAATTTTGATCAGGATTTTCAAACCATTGGTTACCTGACCTTGGATTTGGATGATTAGTGATTGGATGATTATGTGGTGTTATATTTTTTCAGTAATTAGTGTTTTGAAACCTTTAGTTGCAACTTACATCTCCTGTTTGGGTGATTACTTTTATAGCTGACCATCCTAATTGTTCTTTTTTACTATGATATTTATTCTAGCTTCTTTGGTTTGATCTACACTAACCAAAAAGTTAGCAAAGAACCATGACCAACTGCATACACTAAAAAATGCAGGGCATTGAATCTTTAATCCATCTTAATGCACTCATGACCATCAAGCATTGGTGGCTGTTATATCTGTAAAGTTCTGTATGTGCTGTCAAACTTTTGTTTGTCTCTTGGTCATATTATATTGAACTAGATTTCTATTTGTGTAATTTAACATATTGCTCATAATTTCTTTTCTTCGTAGGTAGCTCCACTAGCTGATCGAAACAGTACAATATCGTGTAACTAGAGTAGCTTCTTACAGTGTCTACTTTTCTTCATATGAAGTGCTTTTTTAGCATAGGATGATTATGTGGTGGATCTTCCTGGGATTGCAAAGTTACGATTCCCATCATTTATATTTTTTCATTAATTGGTGTTTTGAAACTATTCACCATTTTGGGTGATTATATGGACTGTTGTCGCCTGCGATGTAACATATTATTCCACTGATGGTAAATGTTTAATCTATAATTTCAATATTTAATTTTGATTAAATTTTTAATTCAAATGTTAAGACTCATGCCATTAATCATGGGTCACTGGCACCACCGCTGGCAGCCGATTGGCGACCACAGTTGCCGAACCCAAATGATCTTCAACTCTTTGCAATGTCAGTGTTTCGAACCTCGAACAATTTCTCCTTTTTGCTATCACTGTTTTTGGTGATGTTGCTTCTTGGCTACATTTAATGTCCTCAAGAAATAAGAGTCTATTGAGGGCTAGAAGTAACAGTGACATAATTTTTCAACCCTTCTTTAATAAATGAATCTTTCATAAGTTTTTAGAAATTAATTATTCAATAACAAACTTGTTTAGAAAAAATGCATTGGTTCATGGTGTTCTACATTTACTAGATTCAGTGACTTTGTTTAGGGCGAGAGAGAAAGAATTGGGTTTTTGCACTGTGGTGGTGCGTGGGGACCCACATGGTTGTTGTCCTAGGTAAAAACTGAAGTGATAGTAGAAGAAATGGAATAGAAAAGTTATGGAATTTTGGTAGTTATGTTGCCTTATTGACATTACTGTTTTTGTTTATGTACAAAAGTTTTTATTTGATTTCTTTTATTTACTTGAATTATGAGATAAGCTCTCTTTACTAACATTTTTTTAATTTATATTTCTGGTAAAAAAATCCAGGAGTCGTTAATATTAACCACACCACTGTTTCTGCAAGAGAGTTGCAATATCTGTTTTTCTCCAGCTCAAAGCACATGCACACCACACTGTTGTGTTTCTTTTTTGTATCTAAAGGATACATTGTTGAGTTGACTGTAGTTGTTTTGTCTTTTTCTTGGTCACTCCTTTGGTTTTTCCTTTTGCTGGTTTTTTCTCGAACTGAGGCTTGCTGCATTACTTCTGAGGTTTGCTTTCGTGTTCTTCTCTTGCTCTCTTTCATCAATTTTGGTGTTCTTCAAGTCATTGGACTTTCTGTTCTTTCAATGACAGGGTTCGCTTTCGAATATCGTTGGTTTTCTTTCTGCAGCTGAATACTATTCTGTTACTTTTCTAAGATTTGTTTTTGTTTTCTTCTCTTGCTCTCTTTCATTAATTTCTATTTTCTTACCATTTTCATTTTGTGTTTTCCTGGTGTTCTTTCTGCATCTGAAGCTGAAGAGTGTTTTCGTTACCTGAAGAGTGAGATTTATTTTTGTGTTCTTCTCTTGCTCTCTCTAATTAATTTCTATTTTCCTACCATGTTCGTTTTATGTTTTCCTGGTGTTCTTTCTGCATCTGAAGCTGAAGAGTGTTTTCGTTACCTGAAGAGTGAGATTTATTTTTGTGTTCTTCTCTTGCTCTCTCTAATTAATTTCTATTTTCCTACCATGTTCGTTTTATGTTTTCCTGGTGTTCTTTCTGCATCTGAAGCTGAAGAGTGTTTTCGTTACCTGAAGAGTGAGATTTATTTTTGTGTTCTTCTCTTGCTCTCTCTAATTAATTTCTATTTTCCTACCATGTTCGTTTTATGTTTTCCTGGTGTTCTTTCTGCATCTGAAGCTGAAGAGTGTTTTCGTTACCTGAAGAGTGAGATTTATTTTTGTGTTCTTGTCTTGCTCTCTCTAATTAATTTCTATTTTCTTACCATGTTCGTTTTGTGTTTTCCTGGTGTTCTTTTGCATCTGAAACTGAAGAGTGGTTTCGTTACTTTCTGAGGTTTGTTTGCATTTTCTTCTCTTACTCCTGCGATTGTTTCCCATTTTGTTTTCTAACCTTTTTCTATTACTTCGTTTTCTTTTATTTTACATGACAACTCAGCTCGTCTTTTGGTTTTGCTTTGAGTTTTGTTTCATTTCATTTTATTTGTTACATGTTTTTCTTTTTAATTTATTTTTCTGCAGATTGGCTGGATCTTGAATGAGTATCGAATGACTTGATCTCTTAACTATGGCTGGTTCTTGATTTTTTTGACTATAACTTGGCTGGGGATGGTTTTGTGACTGTAACATGTACCAAAATCTCTCTCTGTTTTTTTTTTTTTGGTCTTATATGCAATTATCTATCATCATTTTTTATAGTTTATGTCGAATCTCATGATTCTCGATTTGATTTGATTCACAATTCCACTATTAGGATTTTGTTTGTTGAATTGACAACTATGATACAATATAACTGGGACTACTGATACACTTGTGGACGCAAGAATAGCTGGCATCAACATTATCTTTGGAAGGTGAGCTATTTTGGTTATAATTCTGTTCTTTGATTATTATATTTCCTATCTTCAGCAGGTCTTAATTTTTTGTGCTTTGAATCACTTGGGAGATAGGCAAGGGGAGTCCTACGATTCTGTTTGTAAGTCAAATGCTCATTGATGTTGTTCCAAACAAACTGAGTGCTTACTGTGCAAAATGTGAGCTCTATCTTTCATGCATTTTTCTTTCTTACTTTTATAGCTGACCATCCTTATTGTTCTTTTTGACTATGATATTTATTCTAGCTTCTTGGGTTTGATCTACACTAACTACCGTGCAACCTAAATCAAACTTATGTTGGGATGATACAAACTTATTTTTTTCTAAATTTGTGCTTTGGAATATATTTAAAGCATATTGGTTTCTTTTTATGTTTGAGGGTGCCTTTACCAAAGAGATGTTCCCACAGGCTATAGAAGAAAAAAAAAGTTAAGAAAGAACCATGACCAACTGCATACACTAAAAAATGCAGGGCTTTGAATCTTCAATCCATCTTAATGCACTCATGACCATCAAGCATTGGTGGCTGTTATATCTGTAAAGTTCTGTATGTGCTGTCAAACTTTTGTTTGTCCCTTGGTCATATTATATTGAACAAGATTTCTATTTGTGTAATTTAACATATTGCTCATAATTTCTTTTCTTCGTAGGTAGCTCTACTAGCTGATCGAAATAGTACAATATCGTGCTATTGGAGTAGCTTCTTACGGTGTCTACTTTTCTTCATATGAAGTGCTTTTTTAGCATAGGATGATTATGTGGTGGATCTTCCTGTGATTGCAAAGTTACGATTCTCATCATTTATATTTTTTCATTAATTGGTGTTTTGAAACTATTCACCATTTTGGGTGATTATATGGACTGTTGTCGCCTGCGATGTAACATATTATTCCACTGATGGTGAATGTTTAATCTATAATTTCAATATTTAATTTTGATTAAATTTTTAATTCAAATGTTAAGACTCATGCCATTAATCATGGGTCACTGACACCACCGCTGGCAGCTGATTGGTGACCACAGTTGCCAAACCCAAATGATCTTTAACTCTTTGCAATGTGAGTGTTTTGAACCTTGACCCATTTCTCCTTTTGCTATCACTGTTTTTGGTGATGCTACTTCTTGGCTACATTTATTGTCCTCAAGAAATAAGAGTTGGTTGAGGGCTAGAAGTAATAGTACGTAACATAATTTTTCAACTCTTCTTTAATAAATGAATCTTTCATAAGTATTTAAAAATTAATTATTCGATAACAAACTTGTTTAGAAAAAATGCATTGGTTCACGGTGTTCTACATTTACTAGATTCAGTGACTTTGTTTAGGGCGAGAGAGAAAGAATTGGGTTTTTGCACTGTGGTGGTGCGTGGGGACCCACATGGTTGTTGTCCTGGGTAAAAACTGAACTGATAGTAGAAGATATGGAAGAGAAAAGTTATGGAATTTTGGTAGTGTTGTTGCCTTATTGACATTACTGTTTTTGTTTATCTACAGAAGTTTTTATTCGTTTTCTTTTATTTCTTCTTTTATTTACTTGAATCATGACATAAGCTCTCTTTACTAACATTTTTTTAATTTATATTCTTGGTAAAAAAAATCCAAGAGTTGCTAATATTAACCACACCACTGTTTCTGCAAGAGAGTTGTTTGTGGCTAAATTAGCATAGTTGGAAATTTTATTGATAGGCTGTCGATCTCATCTTAAACTCATTAATGTCTTATGCACGCTATTTGCTTTGCCATGTAGATTTTTTTTTGGAGACAATATGCAATGATGAGCGCATTATTGAAAGAAATATACATCTCAAAATTCTACAAAGCCCTGACTATGCAGAGGAGTATGGCTGCTTACTAAAATGAGCAAATTATTATCTTAGTCTACACTTCTATACTTAGTAAATGTTGTTTTCCTTCAGGACAGATTTTGAAGCTGGATACCAAGACTTCAAAAGTTGATCTATGTTTCAACTCTTTAGTGCAGTTTTACTTACTACTTATTACAGAATAATAAACCCATTAAGTTGAAAATAAATAAATTATCTTCAAAATGGACAGAAGTATTTTTAGCTTTTATTTAGTATCATTTATTCAACTTACAAAAAGATGCAAAAATCTAACCCAAACCAAACTAATCACAATTTATTATTAACTCTATTGAATTCAAATACTCCCTCAAATTGATCCCAAGCCCCAAACTCACTCAACTTAACATCTAAAATTCAATATTGTTTGTTCACTACTAAGAATACAAGTTTTGAGCTCAACATTTGTGGACAATCTACTATGCCACTAATGTTTGTTGTCCACATGATGCAGTTCATATCAAGACACCACTTGCCATCCAGTCATTTCAAGACACCACTTGCAACAAAGACCCATGAACTGTAACAAGAGGAAATGAAATATTAGAAATTGATTTATAGAAATCTACCAATCAAAACAAAAGGAAAGGAAAGAAAAAAAAATAATCAAAGTGGTTCATTCATACTAATAGAGATTAGAGAAACAGGGGAGGAACAAAATGGTTTCTCTTTGACTTGAATGTGTTCTCATGGTTGTAATCTAACTTTTTTTGGTGAAATTAGTCAAGTACAAAAATGATAAGCCAAGTGTAAAACTTGTTAACAATGATCAAACTAAGAAAGAATACACACATACATATAGAGAGAGAGGGGCCAAACTTGCTAAAGAGTGATGTCCATCATAAATAAAAATTTTCCAGACACACACACATACACATACACAAGTAAATCAGCAACAAATTGTAGAAGAGGTAATAATTTGAAAACAAAAAAAAACAGAAACAAAAGCAAACCATTCAAAATTTCAATCAGCAATCAAAGAATGTAACCTATTCAAATCCACAACCCAACACACACACACACACACACAAAAAATCAAAAACATTAAAAAAAAACAAAACAAAACAAAACAAAAAAACAAAACCCTAACCAATTATGATAAATATGATAATGTTAATCTATTGCGACCATTCAATTACCTTGAAGTCCTGAGCAATTTCATGGACAAGCCTCTTGAATGGAAGCTTCAAGATCAGGAGCTCAATACTCTTTTGGTACCTACAAATTTCGTTACACATCAATTAATTAAGATAACAAAGAATCTAAAAAACACAAGAATTGTTATAAATATAATAACCATAATTCAAGCTTTAATTCACTAAGTAGAGAAGAATTTACTTGCCAAAAGAGGTGACTTCCTAGTTGTAAGAAGGGGTACCAAAATAATTTGTTTATTTAGAACAACAAAAACCAGTGAACTCAACACTATCATGAAGAGCCAAAGACAAAGGCATTAAATCTGCTTCAAAAACTATGAAATATAGTGGCTAAGGATTTGCAAACCATCATTTAAAAACCAATGCTGTGAAGCCACAATCTAACAAAAGCAAAGTTACTATTGAAGCAACACTATATATAACATTTTTTTTTATTTGATATTTTGAGAGAAAAATCTAAAAAAAATAGCAAAGTAACTACTAAAACAACATTCCTAAACTTTAGTATTTTGTCGTTATTCATTACTAAAATATAGCAATAACCGTCTGTTTGCAATTGAATCATTAGAGATGCTGTTAGGTAATAGCAAGAACATTGCTTCAAGACAACAATTTAGAAGCCTTCAAGCTTCATAAACTAAAATAAAAATAAAATAAAAATGGTCATTATATCAAACGCATTAACATCTACAATTTATTTCACAATAATTGAATCTGATAGCCATTTTAACAAGAAAATTACCCGAACAAGCAGGGTAAGCTAAGAGAGGGTATCTCATAAAATAGGCACAGCCTGGTGGAATTTCATTTTCATGGGAATTCTGAAAGTAGAAGAATTCTACATCACAGGTAGAACGACGACAACAAAGAATGCAGCAGTAGTGTAACCTCGTCTAGTTACTACTTTGTTCACAAAGAAAAATGAAAACTTACAAAATAATATATCAGACATCACTTTTGATGGCCACAAACATGGGGGGATGCAAATTATAGGCAGAAGCCTGAATCAAAATAAAAATCTTCTCATTTCCGTTCTTCTGTGGAGCAGATAAAGCTTCAAGGTTAAGATCTCCAACACCCTTAGTTGGACCAATGCTGCAATGAGCAGTGTTGTGCGATTCAATAGCATCCTTTATTTTTTTAAACTGTTAAAAGTATTCAAAACCATCAAGAAGTTAGGTATCCTTTGAATGACATCTTCAAAAGAAAAAAAGAAAATTCATATTTCACATTATAAGCATGTCTCTCATGTCTATTAGTACAAGTCTTGTCAGTATCTTATAATTCACGACCCAATCCATTTAGAGGTAAATTGATATGTATCACTAATACATGCTGGGGCGGGAACCCATGAACCAGTTGGGATTCCATAGGCTCTATGATTCCCCAAACCAGCTCCTGGCCCTACTGGCAGAACTGGCCAGGGGTAAATCTTATATTGAATGTATCTTAAGGTGCAAATATGATGCATATGATAAAATGATATGATATACAACACATGAATGGTTAAATTTTCTTTAGCATTGGTGCAAAAGATAAATGAACATTTAAGAAATTAATGTTGTTAAAATGTTCATTTTTTATCAAAATTAAAAAAATGTTAGAAAGGTTCATTAAGATGAATAAGAACTTCTTTCGTTTTTGTCAACTTGTTTCACAAATATCTACTTGTTTAGTATATTATGACATTGATAAGACCACCCACGTCCACTGAAGCTTGAAGTTCTTGTAGTAGACAAAATATTTGAAACTAAAAAGTTGCAAACCAAAGAACGAAGACCTACCTAAAGTGTTAACAGTGAGAGAAATATATTATACAGCTCTTACAAGTGATAGACATTTGAGGTAAACTTTCTAAATAGTTCTGTTTAGATTTAGAAATTCCTTTTTCTCTTTATCTTTTCCTTTCATTTTCTTGTATATTGGATTAACTTCAAGCGAATGTCATTTGCAGTAGTGGTGAAGGTGGTAGAGGAGATGGGTGGTGAGAGAGAAATGGGTGAGAGACAGATAGAGACAGAGATAGAGACAGAGTGATGAGCGATAGAAAGACAAAGTGGTCACTAAAAGTGCATTTTCTTGTAGTGTCTCGATAAATCGAAGATAGCTTGGTAAATAAAAAAGAAGGGAGAGCGGAGTAAGCAAGGCGAACATAATGAGGGAAAGACAAATAGACAGACAGATAGAGAGAAAAAGAGTGATGAGCGAAAGAGAATGAGAGACAGAGAGAGAAAGAGAGAGAGAGACAGACAGAAAGAGAGAGAAACAAGAGATGAGTGAGAGAGGCAGAGAAAGAAGACAAATGAGAGAGATAGAGAGAAGACAGATGAGCGAGAGACAAAGAGACAAAGAGACAAAGAGAGAGATAGAGAGATAGATAAGAGTGATGAGTTAGAGAGAGAAAGAGAATAGAGAGAAACAAAGCGAGAAAAAGATAGAGAGTGAGAGATAGAAAAAGAGACAGAGAGAGAAGAGAGATGAACGAGAGAGATAGAGAGAAGAGAGATGAACGAAAGAGACAGAAAGAGAAAAGAGATGAGAGAAGATATAGATGAGTGAGAGACACATAGAGAGATAGATAGACAGACAGATAGACAGGCAGAGAAAAGTGATGAGTGAAAGAGAGAAAGAGAAGAGAGAGAATAAGATGAAAAATGAGTGAAAAGAGATAGAGAGGGGGGGTAAGAAGAGATTAGGGATTTTTGGTTTTGGGCGGGGTGGTTTGAGATTGAGGATTTTTTGTTTGGGATGGGGGTATTACAAAACGCGAATGGAAAAAAAAAAAAGGAAGGGGAATGGGGAAAAAAATGGAGGAGAAACATAGCGGGAATAAAAAAAAAAAATCGGTCACAAATGAAATTTAAACAACAAAACATGGTTTAACCTTTTTTTTTTTTTTTTTTTGCGACGGGGGTTGCCGTAGCCAAAAAAATTATTTTCTGTTAAAATAATTTTTTTTTTTTTGTAGTTAATGAATTTTTTTTTGAAAAAAATTCATTTTTTTTTAGTTATAGATTGAAAATTTATTTGTTTTATTTTTATTTTAATGAAAAAAAATTATAATTATTATTTTAATCAAAAAGTCACATTTTTTTGCGACGGCAAGTTGTGCCGTCTCAAAAAGGCACATTTTTCGCGACGGCAAGTTGTATCGTCTAAAAAAGTCATATTTTTTTTTGCGACAGCAAGCTGTGCCGTTTCAAAAAGGCACATTTTTTGCGGCGGCAAGTTGCGCCGTCTCAAAAAGTCATATTTTTTGCGACGGCAAATTGTGTCGTCTCAAAATGTCACATTTTTCGCGACGGCAAGTTATACCATCTCAAAAAGTCATATTTTTTTTGCGACGGCAAGTTGTGCCGTCTCAAAAAGGCACATTTTTTGCGACGGCAAATTGTGTCATCTCAAAAGGTCACATTTTTTGCGACGACAAGTTGTGCTGTCTCAAAAAGTCACATTTTTTGCGACGGCAAATGTGTTGTTGCAAAAAGTTCCGTCTCATAAGCCCACTTTTCTTGTAGTGTATGCTATATGTGTTAGTGGTTATGAGATATGTGGGTAATTGTTATAAGCAAAGTGGTGTCAAAGGGTGTTTGGTTATGCTATATGTGTTAATGGTTATGAGATATGTGGGTAATTGTTATGAGCAAAGTGGTGTGGGTGTTTGGTTATGCTATATGTGTTAGTGGTTATGAGATAGGTGGCTAATGGTTATGAGCAAAGTGGTGTCAAAGGGTGTTTGGTTATGCTATATGTGTTAGTGGTTATGAGATATGTGGGTAATAATTATGAGCAAAGTGGTGTCAAAGGGTGTTTAGTTATGCTATATGTGTTAATGGTTATGAGATATGTAGGTAATGGTTATGAGTGGTTATGAGATATGTGAGTAATGGTTATAAGCAAAGTGGTGTCAAAGGGTGTTTGGTTATGCTATATGTGTTAGTAGTTATGAGATATGTGGGTAGTGGTTATGAGATATGTGGGTAATGGTTATGAACAAAGTGGTGTCAAAGGGTATTTGGTTATACTATATGTGTTAGTGGTTATGAGATATGTGGGTAATGGTTATGAGTGGTTATGAGATATGTGGGTAATGGTTATGAGCAAAGTAGTGTCAAAGGGTATTTGGTTATGCTATATGTCTTAGTGGTTATGAGATATGTAGGTAATGGTTATGAGTGGTTATGAGATATGTGAGTAATGGTTATGAGCAAAGTGGTGTCAAAGGGTATTTGGTTATGCCATATGTGTTTAGTGGTTATGAGATATGTGGGTAATGGTTATGAGCAAAGTGGTGTCAAAGGGTATTTGGTTATGCTATATGTGTTAGTGGTTATGAGATATGTGGGTAATGGTTATGAGCAAAGTAGTGCCAAAGGGTATTTGGTTATGCTATATGTGTTAGTGGTTATGAGATATGTGGGTAATGGTTATGAGTGGTTATGAGATATGTGAGTAATTGTTATAAGCAAAGTGGTGTCAAAGGGTATTTGGTTATGCTATATGTGTTAGTGGTTATGAGATATGTGGGTAATGGTTATGAGCAAAGTGGTGTCAAAGGGTGTGGTTATGCTATATGTATTAATGGTTATGAGTTATGAGATATTGGTTATGTGACTAGTGGTTGTGAGATATGCGGTGTTGGTTATTAGACATGTGACTAGTAGTTATGAGATATGTGATGTTGGTTATGATCAAAGTGACGTGGTTATGAACAAAAAGGTGTTAATTATAAGATATGTGATTAGTGGTTATGAGATATGTGATATTGGTTATGACAAAAAGGTGTTGGTTACATGATATGTGACTAGTGGTTATGAGATATGTGATGTTGGTTATGACTCAAAGGGATTGGTTATGTGATGTGGTTATGATATATGTGGGTAGTAGTTATGAGATATGTGATATTAGTTATGACAAAAATGTATTGGTTACGAGATATGTGACTAGTGGTTATGAGATATGTGATATTGGTTTTGACTCAAAGAAATTGGTTATGAGATGTGGTTATGATGTATGTGGATAGTAGTTATGAAATATGTGATCAATAGTTATGAGATATGTGATATTTGTTATGATCAAAGTGGTGTTGGTTATGAGATATGTGATTATGATTATGAAACATGTGATATTAGTTATGAACAAAATGGTGTTGATTATGAGATGTGGTTATGAAATATGTGATATTAGTTATGAACAAAATGGTGTTGGTTATGAGATGTAGTTATAGCTAAGTTATGATCAATTTGATTATAGTTATGAAGAAATATGATTTTAGCTCATAACTATAAAAAGTGACCTGTTTAGCAGGTCATTTTTAATGATGTGGCTCAATCTTAGCCATTGATTTTGTATGTACCGTACATTTTTTTGTACAAAATGTACTATAGACTTTCCCTCATAACATAACCATAATGGAAAAGACAACAATTAATTATTTTTTAAAAGAAAAAACAAATCAGTAAAAGAAAAGGCTTCAAAGCTGTAAAATCTCACTTTAAAATTTTTCCCAAATGATATGAATGGTTACCTATCAATTATTGAATTGTGTAAGAATTAAACACTTGCGACAAAAACTTTACACACCATCACGGATGAATTTAGGAATATTATTTGAATCTTTGCAAAACTCATGACTAAAATGTATAACTTTGGGGGGCCAAATATAATTAAGTTATACAAACTATACAATTTTCTTATACATCATTTAGGATGTTGTGGAAACTACCAGGGCCAGGCCCCCAAACCCCCCTCCTTCCGCCCCTGTCCACAAGAATATGAATATGATGCATCGACTACAAAGAAAATGGAATTTCAAACACAGATACTTGATCTTCAATAAATTGTCCAAACTACGTGAGATTGACTCATATTTTCATAAACTTCTTCAACGATCAAATTGTTTTGAAGGACTTTTTGCCAATTATGCCATTTTTCTTCATTTTGACATCTTGTGATTTTCATACACGGGAGGAATCCTTTCACCAAGAATTCCATTAGCATTATGTATGCTCGCATTTTTAATTCATAAATTTACGAGAAGGCATTTATCGATGTTTGATAGTATTGAGGATTATCTACGAAGCCAAAACCATCTCATGCCTATTAGCTACTCTTACTCAGAGATTAAAAAGATGACCAAAGGATTCAAGAACAATTTAGGAGAAGGAGGCTATGGTTCTGTATATAAAGGAAAACTTAGAAGTGGTAATCTTGTAGCGATAGAAGTATTGGGCAAGCCCAAAGCCAATGGGCAAGAATTCGTCAACGAAGTTGCTACCATAGGAAGGATTTATCATGTTAATGAGGTTCAACTAATTGGATACTGTGCTGAGAGATCTAAGCGAGCTCTTATTTATGACTTCATGCCTAATGGGTCACTTGAAAAGTATATATTTTCTCAAGAAGGAGATATCTCATTGAGTTGCAAACAAATGCATGAAATTTCTCTAGGAGTTGCTCGCAGGATAGAATATTTGCATCGAGTTTGTAATATGCAGATCTTGCATTTTGATATCAAGCCTCACAACATTCTACTTGATGAGAATTTCACTCAAAAAGTTTCTGATTTTGGGCTTGCAAAATCGTATGCAACAAACGATAGTATTGTGACTTTGACAGCAGCGAGGGGAACAATGGATTATATGGATCCACAGTTGTTCTACAAAAACATTGGAGGTATTTCATATAAAGCTGATGTTTATAGTTTCGGAATGTTGTTGATGGAAATGGCTAGCAGGATGAGAAATTTGAATGCCTTTGCTGAACATACAAGCCAAATTTACTTCTCTTCTTGGATTTATGATCAATTCAAAGAAGGAACGGACATACAAATGGGAGAAACCAATGAGGAGGAAAGGGTGATGGTGAATAAGCTGGTAATAGTAGCTTTGTGGTGCATACAAATGCAGCCTAGTGACCGCCCTTCGATGAACAAAGTTGTGGAAATGCTTGAAGGGGATGTTGAACAACGGCAAATGCCTTCCAAACCTTTTATGTGCCCGCAAGAGAGGCCTATTGAAGAACATAGATTTGACACCAATCCTACCAAGTTGTCTATGCTATCAAGTGAATGCATAAATTCTGTCACTTTGGATGTAAGTGAACCTTAAACTGTTTTGTATCAATTCAAACACTCTGTTTTTATGTATTTTGATTGTTGACATCCTCTATTCCTCACGTAATTGAGGCAAACTTTCCAATGTATGATAGGGAAATTATGCAACCTCGGATTAAATTTTGGTATGAAAACTTGGTATGTTGTTCAAATGGCTGTGTTTGGATTGCATTTCAATTTTGTTCTTCTATTGATTGTTTTCACCAGTGAAGCTTATATGGTACGACACTGTAGTTGTTTGTAGTTCAATAAACTTTCACCTTTTATCAAAAAAAGTATTATTCAATAAAAAGAAATATGAAATTTTCCTAGCATTTCTTCTAAAAAGATCATGATCATTTGATCTCGCTTGGTTTTGGTTTTTAGAAAATGCTTTTCAGAAAAATTTACTTTTTATTTTCTGTATTTTTTTTTTGTTTTTAAAGATTCTTTTATAAATATTTTAAGTAATTTTTTTAAATTTTTAGACACATTTAACATAAATACATTTAAAAAGTATAATATTTGTGATTTTTTTTTATAAAAAAAATTCACTAAATATCAAAAATATAAAAAATACAAAAATTCAGTACATTTTTCATATTTTTGTATATTTATTAATTTTTTAAAATATTTTTTCACAAATATTTTACTATTTAGATACATCTAAAACAGTTAAAAAATTACTTAAAATTTTAAAAATATTCACTAAAAAACAAAAAAAATACAAAAAATAAAAAACTCAACTTTTAGAAAGTTGAAACCAAACATTTATATTCAGAAAACTGAAAAGTTAATTTTTAATGTTCCCCTTTTTCTTTTTAAATTCATTAATTAAAACAAATACTGAGTTTGCATTGCTTTCTTTCAAACTGAGCTCTATTCATCTCATTTTTGTTTCAACAACTTGGTCTTTTCTTGTTGATTTTGCTGCAATTAGTTTATTCATTTTTTCCTATTTGGTTGTGTTGGAAATTATAACAAAAATAAAAGATTACTCAAAAAACAAAAAGTGGAAACACAAAATACTCAAAAACAGAATTTGGGTCTTTTTAAAACCAAACAATTTGATTAATATTTGGGACAATTATGACTAACTTGTTTATTAAAAAGTCATATTGTAAATTTCAGTGATAAATTTATCATTATAAAAATATTTTTTAAACTATATAATTTAATTTCTTACATTTATCATGTCATATTTCAATACAAATTAAATAAATCTCACGAACAAAAGTCAAAATATCCAATCCTTTTATCAATTTGATAAATTTATTATATCATTATTTACACAAAACAAATTCAAAAAAATTCAAACTTTTGCTTGTCATTAAAATAAGAAGTAAATACGTAAAAATAAATAAATAAATTATGAATAAATAAGTCTTACTAATAAAATATGTCGATAATCAACCTATCTACTCCAAAATTGGGGCTTTCATACGCGATATCTGGATCGGTAACTTTCTTCGGTTCGAACGCGGCGAGTCGACTCATCTGCTCTTTCGACTCAGTTTCGACAAGAAGATGAAGTGAGCCCTAAAAAGCTAGAAGAGGAATCAGAAATTAAAAAAAGAAGATTCAAAATGAAGATGTAAACAATCATGAAGATGAAGATGAAGATGGCGAATTTGATTGGAGGTCCCGAACCCACTCGTTACGGCGATTGGGGGCGAAACGGTATTTAGAATTTTTTAATTTGTGGTTAGCAGTTGAGTATTAAGACTGAATGATGAATGAATAAAGGGTTTATTATATTTTATATCCCTAAATTATTGTCAAATTATCTATTTTGCCTTAAACTATTAATCGAGTAGAGTAAGTCTCTCAAGTTTATTTAATTCCTAAACTATCGATTGAATATATTAATTGTCTAAAGGGTTAATTACACAAAAAAAAAAGCTCAGGGTTTTGTGCATTTTTCATTTTAAATTACAAGTTTTCAATTTTAGCAAATTAAACCACATCCTTTTACCCGTGTTTCAATCTGGCCTCTCCGTCCATCTCCGTTATCTTAAACTAATAGAAATTTGGGCAAAATTTTATATTCAAACACTTATATCTCCCTCGTCGTAATTCGTCCCATTTTTGCGTCGTTGGATTCACCTCATGGCCTAGTTATCATTACAACCCTCATACGCCTTGTTCCACCTCTTTTTGCATATTGTCAGAGCTCTGAGAGTTAGCTAAAAGTAAGAATTTTTCTCTCTTTGGGAAAAATTTTCAGATTCAAACCTACATGTTGAAGAACTTGAATCTCTCTCGTCGTAACTCCGTTTTGTCTCATTTTTGAGTCGTTGGATTCATCTTGTGGCCTAGTTTTCATTCCACCCCTCATACACCTTATTTCACCTCTTTTTGCGTAACATCAAAGCTCCAAAAGTTGGCCAAAAATAAGATTTTTTTTTTCTCTATGCTCCTTCCTTTCTCTTTTCTTTCTACAATTATTCTCTCTTTTCCTCTTCTTTCATGGCCCTTCCTCCACCCTTACGTTTCTTCCCCTTCTTGTAAGTCATATACCTCCATACTTGATGACACCGCCATTGTCGGAGGTTCGGTGGCCACCACGAGCCTAGTGGAAGGGCTATGAAGAAAGAAGAAAAGAGAGAATAATTGTCGAAAGGAAGGACGAAGGAAGAAGCATGGAGATAGAGAAAAAAAAATCTTATTTTTGGCCAACTTTTGAAGCTTTGATGTCACGCAAAAAGAGGTGGAATAAGGTGTATAAGGGGTGGAATGAAAACAAGGCCACAAGATGAATCCAACGACTCAAAAATGAGACAAAACGGAGTTACGACGAGAGAGATTCAAGTTCTTCAACATGTAAGTTTGAATCTGAAAATTTTTCCCAAAGAGAGAAAAATTCTTACTTTTAGCTAACTCTCAGAGCTCTGACAATATGCAAAAAGAGGTGGAACAAGGCGTATGAGGGTTGTAATGATAACTAGGCCATGAGGTGAATCCAACGACGCAAAAATGGGACGAATTACGACGAGGGAGATATAAGTGTTTGAATATAAAATTTTGCCCAAATTTCTATTAGTTTAAGATAACGGAGATGGACGGAGAGGCCAGATTGAAACACGGGTAAAAGGATGTGGTTTAATTTGCTAAAATTGAAAACTTGTAATTTAAAATGAAAAATGCACAAAACCCTGAGCTTTTTTTTTTGTGTAATTAACCCTTTAGACAATTAATATATTCAATCGATAGTTTAGGAATTAAATAAACTTGAGAGACTTACTCTACTCGATTAATAGTTTAAGGCAAAATAGATAATTTGACAATAATTTAGGGATATAAAATATAATAAACCCTTTATTCATTCATCATTCAATCTTAATAGTCAACTGCTAACCACAAATTAAAAAATTCTAAATACCGTTTCGCCCCCAATCGCCGTAACGAGTGGGTTCGGGACCTCCAATCAAATTCGCCATCTTCATCTTCATCTTCATGATTGTTTACATCTTCATTTTGAATCTTCTTTTTTTAATTTCTGATTCCTCTTCTAGCTTTTTAGGGCTCACTTCATCTTCTTGTCGAAACTGAGTCGAAAGAGCAGATGAGTCGACTCGCCGCGTTCGAACCGAAGAAAGTTACCGATCCAGATATCGCGTATGAAAGCCCCAATTTTGGAGTAGATAGGTTGATTATCGACATATTTTATTAGTAAGACTTATTTATTCATAATTTATTTATTTATTTTTACGTATTTACTTCTTATTTTAATGACAAGCAAAAGTTTGAATTTTTTTGAATTTGTTTTGTGTAAATAATGATATAATAAATTTATCAAATTGATAAAAGGATTGGATATTTTGACTTTTGTTCGTGAGATTTATTTAATTTGTATTGAAATATGACATGATAAATGTAAGAAATTAAATTATATAGTTTAAAAAATATTTTTATAATAATAAATTTATCACTGAAATTTACAATATGACTTTTTAATAAACAAGTTAGTCATAATTGTCCCAAATATTAATCAAATTGTTTGGTTTTAAAAAGACCCAAATTCTGTTTTTGAGTATTTTGTGTTTCCACTTTTTGTTTTTTGAGTAATCTTTTATTTTTGTTATAATTTCCAACACAACCAAATAGGAAAAAATGAATAAACTAATTGCAGCAAAATCAACAACAAAGATACAAAAAAATAAATTTTATAAATAAAAACGGGTACAAAACTGGTTTACTAAACTGATTTTCTGAATTACATTCTTACCTTCTAACCCAAAACAAAAGAATAAATATATATGTATGTTGAAATGAAAACGGCTTTCGTAAAGCCAAAATAATTTTCTAAATAACACCTTCCAACCCAAAATAAAGACAAAAGAAAAAAAAAAATTACATGAAAATGACTTTAGTAAAGCGAAAAAAAAAAATTATTAATTACACAAAACAATAAGCAAAAAAAATATTTACATGAAAACAACTTTAGTGAAGACGAAAAAAAAATTTTAATTACATTTTCTAAATCAAAACAAAGACAAAAGAAAAAATGAAAAATGTAACATGACAACGGCTTCAGTAAAGCCAAATAAATGAACATGATTGGCTTAATAATATCTACATGAATATGATTTTGAATTATATATATGAAAAATAGTATGTAAAAATTAATATATGAAAAGAGGTTTTTTTTCATATTATGTAAAATTTATGAATTACACATTCTAAACAAAAACAAAAGAAAAAAAAAACATATTTTAACATGATAATGGCTTTAGTAAAGCCAAGTACTAAAATATACAGTGTAAATATATTTTTTAAAATATGTTTTATGTTTTTTTTCTTTTGTTTTATCTTGAAAATAGCGTTTTATTCCAACAAAGTTTATGTTAAAAACGTTGGGCGAAAAAAAAAAATTTCTGTTAAAATCGCTATTTGTAATAGCGTTTATTCATGTTAAAATCGCTATTCCTAATAGCGTTTTTATGGCAAAAAAATTTTGTGTAAAATCGCTATTATAAATAGCGTTTTCTGGCAAAATGGTTTTGTGTAAAAAGCGCTGTTCTTAACAGCGTTTTTCTTGGGAAAAAAGTTAAGCCTAGAAGCGCTATTAGTAACAGCGACTTCTTAATCAAAGTCGCTATTTGTAATAGCGATTTT